CCCAAAACCGAGCAATGTTTGCCTACTCCACCACAGCTCAGGGTCACACATTTGGAAAACGACACTGCTCGAGATCCCGAAGCTTAGCTGGGGAATTCCACCACAGTCTTCGTGTAGCCCTGACTTAGCTCTTTCCGATCGCCATCTAAACTAATCCCACAGCGGCCATCTTCTGGGTAAAAAAATACGATTTTTGATAGTACCTCAAAAATGACCCAGCTGCCTTTCTGGGCACAGAACCAAGAGGCTTCTGGAAGCAGGGCAACCACACATTGCGTAGTGATTGGCAACAAGTTGCCAATGAAGGTGACATATATATAGTTGATCAAAATTGCTTCCCACTGGAATAAACTTAACTCGAAAAAATGTTCGAAAAGTTCCACGAACTTTTGGGACAACCTAATATTAACGTCGTGTTTATTTCAACTTTCTTGGTTTCCAATTATAAAAAGCGACTTAGCCATGTGACTGCGATCAACTTTTTTTCCTTTTGTTGCCAGAAAGGCCAGACCATGCAGGGAAATGCCGTGAAACTGTTGAATTAAATTTGAGGACGCCATTGAAAACGAGGGATTGTCAAGGCTAGGAGATTATTGAACTTCTTATTCCGGAATGAAATGAGAATATCGCTGACATTCAATGAACAGCCGGAAATGACAGATAGAGAAAATGTCGAGGCAGCGTTCGTTTAATGATGGAATACTCGAATCGGCCGTCATGGAATTTCAGTAATGGAACCAACGCGGAAAGAAGTTAAGGAGCGCTAATTGGTACACACTAGAGCGATTACAGCTACCAGCGTTCGGGGGGGGGGAGGAACATTAAGGATTCCTTGTGCAAATAAGGCAACAACTTCCTTCAAATAGCAGTACCTTTCTTCGATTTGGGACACCAATCTCAAAGTTTCTTCTTTCTTAAAATTGTGCAAAAATCCAGGTCTTGGGAATCCAAGTTTTGCTCGAGGAGTCCTTCAAATGCCCCCCCCCCCACTTCTCCAGGGTTAATAGCACCGAGTTGTTCATTCCACATTATGCAGGCCGGAAGTGACGTAATGAAAAGTGGTGAAGCTATCACAGGCACAAAAAGTATGAAAACGAAACCCTATGGCAGCTGTTCAACGTCTCTTGAAATGCGCCACACATTCTATTAGGTTGATAAGAAAGTGATGACCCATTTAAAAAAATTTTCTGCTTTATTTTAGTACTCAGCATACAATGCAAGCTACTCAACAATATAATCACCATTATTAGTGACAACAGTCTCCCACTTAATGGGCAGGTCAGCGATCCCCTTCTCCCAGAACTGAGGAGACTGGGAGTCGAAGAAGTCACTCACCGCCCGTTTCACATCATCAACTTTGGTGAATTGTTTCTTAGCTAGAAAAGCCTTAAGGGGACGGAACAAGTGGTAATCTGAAGGAGCTAGGTCAGGGGAATAGGGCGGGTGAGGGACAGTTTCCCAGCCCAGCTCCTCCAGTTTTTCCCGGGTCTCCTTTGCTATGTGGGGTCGGGCGTTGTCGTGCCGGTGACCGTCTGGCCTTGCGATAGCAGCTCGTAGTACAGCATGTCATCTTTTTTTTATCACCCTAATACATCCATTTGAGATCGCGGTGGTATTTGGAGGGCGATTTGGCCCATGGAAAAGGTTGTGGCTGTAGACGAGCGAATCAGTGTTTTTATCTCTTGAATCTAGTACCAGTTCAAGGGAAGAAGTGAGTAGAGGCTTTAAATTAGAAGTGAGTAGAAGGCTTGGCTGGCCTGAATGGGTGACAATCCACGACTTGACCCCTGGACTGTGTCTAGGATCTCATGTCAACCCTAGGCGCACATCCTCGGACGCGTGCGCCCAGGCCTAAGATCTCGTATGAGCGCGGTTTGCCACAAATATTCTCCCAGACTAACTTGTTACCAATCTCAAAGGACCTAGGAGAGCGAAAGGTTAGGTGAAGTGGTTGAGAGTCCATCTAGGATTTGGGCTTGGTTTAAATCCAGGCTCGAGCATCAGCGCGGAATCGCCAGATCGGTACGACCTTCGGGAGGAAAGTTTGGATGATACCACCCTCCCCGCCATTCTCACAGGGTGTCGATATATGTGCTCAATTTCCGCGCTTGCGGTGCATGCTATGAGAATGGAGCGCTACAAGACCCACTGGAATAAGGACTTCTTATAACCCCTCCAAATCCTACCACTGGCCTCGAAGTGGCGAGGGGGCGAAACGGGAATATCCCGGCTAACAGTGGAGGTACATACCACCTCAAAGGGTTAGCTACCCGAGGATTGGTAAACAAACAAGCTACAACACGCACACAGAGGGTCCGGAGCGGCGCAGAAGGAAGCACGAGCTCTACGTGCACTGGAGCAAACGGCGACCTACAACTCTGCACCTACAACTGTCGCACCATTGCCTCGATAGCCGACCAAACCATATTACTGGAGGCTAGTAAAAGACTTCGTTTCGATGTCATCGCTCTCCAGGAAACAAAAGCAAAAGAAACAGCTACCAGGAAGACCAACGATGGCCACCTAATTGTTCTCGGAGCCAAACTGAGCGGAAGAAATGTCGGTGGTGTTGGATTCCTCGTCCACCATCGGCTCGAGCACATGGTCGATTCAGTCGAAGTGATCGGCCCGCGACTGGCCATCCTACGTCTACGCATCGACAAGCGCACTTTCGTTAGTATTATCAACTGCTATGCACCGACGTCAGCAGCTACGGACGAAGAAAAGGACGCGTTCTACAAGGAATTGGAGGAGATGATAAAAAGGGAACGGTCCTACTACAAATATGTTGTCGGAGACTTTAACGCAGTCATCATGAGGAAATGCCAGCGACAGCGCGCATTGGGCCACACGGAACCGGAGAAACAAACGAGAACGGCGAACGTTTGATGGACCTCTTAGAGCAATGCAATCTCTTTCACGGAAACAGCTTCTTCACGAAAAAAGAGGATCGGCGATGGACGTGGGAGAGTCCGGATGTCACGACTCACAGCGAAATTGACCGTGTGCTCAGGCTGGTCAGAGCGAAAATCCGTCTCCGAGCGAGAATCCGAAGACGCGACTTCTTCCGACCTCCTCCCATACGGCTGCCACATTACGACACAAACGTCCATGGAGGCGGCCGCCGCTCACTACACGTGGCAGGAGGCGCAAGACTTGTCGCAAGACTATACCATGCTCATAGAAGGACTTCTACATTGCGCTATGGCATCGGCTACCACAACAAGGACGGATTCGAAAGGCAGGATTGACGACAAGGCTCGCGCACTTCTGCAGCAACGCGCTGTCGTCCATCGTAACCCTGCATCAACACCATTGGAGCGCGCCGTGATCAACAAAGCGTGCCGCATCGCAGTGAAGGAGTCGATTCAGCGTTACAAGAATACTCGACTGAAGGAAGCGGCGGAAGCGAGAGCGAGTCTCAAACGATGTCGTCGAGACATCAACGACTCTCGCTCGGTCACCACGGTTATGCGAGACGCGATGGGCAGACCGCAGACATCGAGAGCGAGGATTGAAGAGATCGCCGTCAATTTCTACACGGATCTCTACCGATCAACGATGCCGGTTTCACGCATACCTACACCTACGCAGGACGCGGCCCCACAGATAGAAGAGTGGGAGGTGGAACACGCCTTGCGTCAAATGAAGCCGGGGAAGGCACCAGGACCTGACCGCATCTCAGTAGACTTTCTGAAGTCGGCGTCCCGCACCGTCATAAAACAGCTCACCAGGCGCTATAACAGGTACATGGACGCGCAAGAGGTCCCGGACCAGTGGAAGACGTCAAGCACGGTTCTTCTGTTCAAGAAGGGCGAGCGCGACCTAATGAAGAACTACCGCCCCATCGCCCTCCTCTCGCAGCCATACAAGTTGTTCACGAAGGTAATCCTCAACAGGCTCGAGAAACAACTGGATGAGATGACTATCAACCAGTGGAACAGGCCGGGTTTCGCAAGGGCTTCTGTTGCATGGACCACATCCATACTGTCACGCAGTTGATTGAGCGAACCAAGGAATACAAGCAGCCGCTCCTCCTCTGCTTCATCGACTATACGAAAGCATTCGACAGTGTGGAACTGAACTCTATTTGGAATGCGCTGCACCATGCTGGTGTCGACCCGTGCTACATAAACCTGCTGGAAAAATGCACCATGGACACATCTACCACCATCCGCATTTTTCAACGAGAGCTACATTTGTCTTTTGCCACCGTCCAACGATTAGCGGTGGAGCGCGTAGTTGACAACCGACAGTTGTGTCGAGAACTATGAACGCAGTCGTACAGGAAGTGGAAGTCAGAGGCATAGCCCATTCTTCAGTGACTGATCACGGTCACTTCGACTTCTTTCATCTTAAAAAGTTATGTAATTGTTCGGCATTGTTCAGCAACATGAACGAGCACGGCGATTAAAAAAAGGAATCAAGGACAGGATCAAGAGTCGTCAAAATACCCATCGTTGTCGTGCGTGAGTCTTCCCAGAAGACCTTGTCCTTTGCTTTTTAGGCTGTTCCGCGTGATGGTGGTCTTCCTGTTGAATGAATGAATGAGCATTACGGATTCAATGCGAAAACGTTGCCTGCGTGAGTGAACAAGACTTCTTTCAATCATAAGTTCCTTGGCGGGTGAAAGTACAAATGTTAGTGGAAGTGAAAGAGGTAGCAAGGCAGTAAAGAATATTCTGCTCCGCTTGGGAGGGCATTTTGCATTTCCGCTAGTTATTTTTATTAGTTCATGCAATTAACAGGTCTTGAGTTATGTAAACACTTATGAGAGCGGGGAAATGGTAAATGTGAGCCTCGTTCGTAACAAGAATTTACAGGTCTTTACAGGTAATCTGCACAGGCTCTGCTTAATACCATTTGCTGCCCCTTTCAAGCTGAACTGTGCCGAGATGTCTTGAGTTTTTGTTGATTTGACTTAACATATGAATTTCTATTGGAAGTATACCAAAAACCTCCCACTCAAAACCTTGATGTGCAGTTATTGCAAAGGTGCCAACGGATCTCGAAGTGGACCAAAAGAGACCTCGTAATCCCCTCCCCCTACTCTCCTTTTTTCCAACAGAAACACTTCCTCTGCGCAAAGTAAACCAGAAAACTTAGCTGCTTCACATCATTTGCCTCTGAACAGTCTAATATTTGAAATGAATAAAATACTTATGCTGCAATTGAGCTGTTCTGAGTGAAGAAAAGAAGCGCGATAATTCGAAGTAAAACTTTCTTCGATGTAACGAGAGTACAAGTTTTCGAGCTTACTTGAACATAAAATAAAATGTGAACCATAAAACTGGAATTGCTCCTCCAGGAACGGGCATTATGAAAACGTTATGGAGCGTGACACTCATGTGGGCCATAGATATTTCTTCTCTGCGCTCAAGTTAGCAGAACACATTTTCGGACACGGAATACACATATCTCATGAGAAAGTGAAAAAAAAACTGATGAAATTACTGGTTGCCGATGTAGAGAGTGATGGGAAGATTCTCACAACGCGTCACTCCGCAAAGTGTCAAGGAATCCTGTGCAGAACTGGGGCCAATATAGTGTGAAATCTTTTTTTCGTACAAATAATTTGGTTCGCCCACACTGAGTCCCTCCTCCAAGCCCTCTAGTGTACTGGCTTGACAGTCATCCATTCTTGACAAGTCCAATGACAAATGCTTCAATGCAAACATCCAAACGTCAAGGCCTCGCATGTTCAATAAAAAGGCGTATATCCCGGTTTTTTTTTCTATGCGAACATTGTATGGAACGAGGATCCGCGAAATTTTGCCCTTTCAAAACCAAGATCAAAAGGACGCGAGCGCGCAGTTTGCCAAAAGTATGCGCGTTCGGGGGGGGGGGACCAACGAGCTAGTGAACCCTGGGAGAACAGAATATCTGAGGGCGCCGAGCCGGGATGTCAGACTACGTAAAAGCCTTGAGTAGATGGTGTGAAATGTATCGTGGTCTGCAAGCACTGAGGATCCACTGGGTGAACGGGCATGTTTCAGGGAAGAAGCGAAGAGAAAGCTGGGCCACTGGGACGAAAGTTCTCGATGTTTAAAGGGAAGCTGAAAGCGCGGTAGACAGTCACTCTCTAGCATTTGCCTTATTTTGCATTGTTTCCTAGTAAGTCTTAAGTAGGGATGCTACTACTGGTACATGCATCAACTTCAGTTATTTTAAAAGTTGCGGATTGGAAGGAGCGGAGTGGGGGGGGGAAACGCGTTTACAGAGAAGCAAGAGAACAGCATTCAAACTTACCATAAAGGGCATACAACTGTCCGCTTTTGAAAGGGTCTAGCGTTTGAATGGTCTTTGAGCTGAAAGTTTGGATAGAAAAAGGACGAGATTTTATCAATTAGGTCGAGTTCATACTTCGTGATTCCTTCCGCGCTCCACGGCTAATCGTTGAACCATTGCAACTGCAAATATATCACGTCTAGGATGGACTTCCGACTATTAGCACTAACACCGATAGAGCACGGTCAGTCGCACGCGCGCGACAAAGTCGCTTGAAGTGCGAAGTATGATCGCAGCCTTACAACATCGTAAGTTTGAGAGGACTTTCCTGCTAACCGCAATGAACGCACAGACCAGTGATCTCTTGTGAATTTATGAAATGTTAGTATTCAGATGAGCGTACACAGGTTTCCTCGCAGAGTTTTTGTAAATTTACAAGAGTTCACAGTGCTTCGACGAATTGTTAAAGTACCCCCCCCCCCCCCCCTTAAGGCGAACGGTGCCGAATCGCACATCTTAGTCAATTTATGAGAACCTAAAGGCGATGAATGTATTTCATTGCACTACAAATCATGCCGCTAGCTACCGGTAATCCCAGGGCGACCAAAGCTGTCGTCGGTTAGGGAGTGTGCAGGAGGGATAATGTGGTGGTGAGTTAGTTCCTCGACGGTCGCCAGTATCAATGCCAATGACATGGGCGTGGGCTGCTGCTCTTATTGAAGGTGCACTGCCGGTTGTGCATCTCAAAGAATCATTTGCGTTTGAGGAAAAGCTGCAGTCAGACGAGCAGCATTATAGTCATACATTGTCCAAAACATCACGATGACAGTTTGTCTTCAAATGGGAATATCTCTGAAGAACTCAGGCGATGAGCCACATGATGCTACGCAGCCATCCCCTCCTCATTTCCAGATATAGGTATAGAAGTAGCAGGAAGCCAGTATGATAACAACCCATAATACTTTTGTACTACGTAAAAGAGGAGCGATGAACCCACGTCTCGTTCTGACGGTAAATTTGATGGGAAACGAGGGGCGCAGTAAATGGGCACGTGGCTTACTGTGGGAGGGTGGTTAGAGGAAAGGGGGACAAAAAGAGTAGAGAGTGAGAGGGCTCAGAGGCAGACTCACTACGGGTACGAATGACAGTGATGAGTCCACCTGCTAAGGACTGTCTACGAACGCATGGCGAGTGCTGACAGGAGAGGTGGGCGCAGGGCCTCCAGGAAGTGGAACAGCAGCGGAGCTGAGCAGGGGATGTGGAGTCGTCGCCGCAAGACGACCATACGAAAGCTTTTCGGAAATGGATCTGCACGTTTCAATAAACTTTTAAGGACAAAAAATGAACGGCCGACAACACCGCGCCAAACAAAGCAGAAATAGGCTTATTATACCCCCTGAATGAAAAGTTCCGCTATTTCGAAACTCACAGTTGACAGAGAGATTTGCCATATTAAATACATTATTTTTGGATTTCCATGGAATCGATATTCTGGAATGGGGCACTAACAAGAGGGGCCGCTGTCATACCCACCATATGCCGGTCGGAATCCCTCATGCCTATGATGTACACACTGTATCCCACGTTAAAGCAGGTCGCAATTGCGGACTCAGCATCGTGCGTGACAGAGGTCCCAAAGATGTTTGCTCTTTATAGTTTCC